CAGAAGTTATGTGCTAAGGGAATTTTATCTGAGGTAAGTAAAACACATTACCATTCTCTTAAAATATGTCTGTGTTGATTCATACTATCCATGCACTATAATTTCATGTGGTTGGTTTGGGTATTTCATTGGATAATGTAATATCTCATAGCTTCTATTAATCTGGCAATATATCGTTAGTAAGAGGAGTTAATGAAGGCTCCGCCTTGGCTGTCTGTCTCCTTCAGTCTTCTGTGTGGTGAAATTCAGTATTTCAGCTTTTGTCTTCCTCCTGTGATCACAGATAATGATTCATAAGAATAGGAGCTTCTGAGTGACTCTTCATTCATTAATCTATTTAAAATCTACATTAGGTATTTAGAAATCTACTTTAGTGAAATAAATTATTAACCTGCATTTCCATGTCTGTCATAGAAGAGAATTTTACCCTGGCTTTTTTCTCTGGTGTCGCTGCTTATATTGTGGAATGTCCCACTGGTATTCAACTTTTCTGAAAGTACTTTAGGTGATAGAATCATAGAATCATAGAATGGTTAGGATTGCAGTCATTTTTCTTCCTGAAGAAAACTGGGTGACAAACACCAGTGTAGTGTTTTGCAAATCAAACTGCCGTTCATTTTATTTTAGCAACTTGAGAGGAGAAATTAATGATATTTCATCTTTTGATAATCATATTAAAACCAGCTATTTGTCAGGATATGTCCTTGAATTACATAATGCAGCATAAAAACATCTGATGAAATGGTACAGTGTCAAAGATTAGATCTGAAAAAATATCATCATTATGTGAACTCATTACAGTGAACCATGGTTGCCAACAGTGAGAGAGTGTTTTGCAACACGGAACACAGAGTAAGAAACCATTGTGTTCTTTTTTCCACTGCCCATGCAGTATGGGATGTTCAGTGAGTTGCTTTTTCCATCTTTACCAATCAAGCTGCTCTGAAGCTGAGAAAAGCCTTGAACAGAAACAAACTCTCGGGTTTCCAGGTGTGCACTGGCACTGACTCCTGCAGGAGAGTCACTTGCCTGGTACAAAGGAAGCATGCGCGGCTGGCGGAACCTCCTGTGAATTACCGCCTCAAAAGCAGCTTGTCCACAGTGAGGGAGGATGGATTGAACCTAGGTGTAAGTTAGGAAGACGTTCCCTGTTACAGGAGGAGAAATAACCTCATTAAAATTAGCAAGAGTGCGAAGGGATTGAGCCCCCTTCCACACGAAGGTAGGTATTGGAGGAGGGAGTAGGATTGTTTGAGTTTGCATACAGTGTGCCTACATGCCCGTGGATGTGAAGAGAGCTGGGGCTGAAGTCCTGGAGAGGAGCATCTCTCAGCTCTGCCTTGCTCTTGGCATGTCGCTGTGCGCTCCAGCGTCTCAAACGCCCAGGAAACAGCAGCTCTTCCCTGGTCCTCCCGGAGCCGCACAGGCACCAAGGGAGCTCCTTACTGACAGGATTCCTGCTCCCACATTGCTTCGGAGAACAGACAGACGACTGTTGAGAAGGTTTGCATGGCAATGTGACCTGTATTTCTGGAAATTAATTTGGCAACTATTCTCTCAATCCACACCCTCGTGCATGGACCTGTTTGACCGTTATTCAGTGGTGCCAGCTCCTCTTCCACCCCCCCACCCCCAATTTCTTTGGCTCCTCGTTCACCCGCTGTGGCCACTCCCCAAGAACCCAGCCCTGCATCAGCATTTCAACCTCCAGGTTTGTGTGCTTGTGAAGTACACCCTCACTTGGGCAGCCTGGGGGTAAGTTTAGCCCCTCGCTTCCCCAGGGCGGTCTGCTAGCCCTGCTGTGTGCCTTCCTTCCCAACTTTGCACCGCAGACGTGCTGGCTCGGCGCCGGTGAGGACAGAGGTTGCCTGTCAACAACAACCTGCAACAACAACAGGTTGCCCAGAGAAGCTGTGGATGCCCCATCCCTGGCTGTCTTCAAGGCCAGGCTGGATGTGGCTTTGAGCAACCTGGTCTAGTGCAAGGTGTCCCTGCCCATGGCAGGGGGGGTGGAACTGGATGATCTTTAAGGTCCCTTCCAACCCAAACCATTCTGTGATTCTATGATTCTATGACAGAGCCTTCTTCAAAGGGCTGTATGGGCTGAGCCCACCCCTGTGCACCTGTGAGGTGCCCTTCTGTGTTCCTTTCCAGGTTTTCCACTGCTGGCTTTGCTGCACAGCCTGGAGTTGCTGTCTCTTCTGTCTAGGTGATAGCTGTAATGGACTAACACTTCTGAATGAGTGGCGGGAATTCAGGTGCTAACTTCTCATTAAGATAATAAAGCTGTGGTTTATGATCTGCCTGCTTTGGCAGCCATCTCTCCTCCAAATTATCATGCAAAGTATCATTCCAGAGATTCCTCAAACGTGCACAAGAGACTGCTTTGAAAGGCTTTGGACTGCACGTTTCCTTTCATCTCTGTTAGTCTCCAGAAGGCAAAGTTATTTTTCTCTACTAGGACTCTGGGAGTGGGTTTTATCCATAGGGGTGGGCTGCGATGAAACCAGCTACTTTTTGTTTTCATGAACAAAGTTGTCCCAATCACTGCAGAATGCTGTACTATCATTTGTTTGAAATAACGACTGTAAAAACGCGTCTAAAAAAGCTGGACAGAAGCAAATGAACTCCCCAAAGGCAGCTAATAACAAGAGTGCTTTCTGTTTGTTTGTTGAGTTGCTCAGAGCTGTTGCAGCAGGCAAATAATCTGGTTGTTTGCAAGTCAGGGATGTGTTTAGGAAACAGTGGATGTGGCTGAGAGAGTTCATTTTCTTCACAATACAGATCCTCCTATATCCAAAAGTAAACATTCCAGGGACTTCATGTGTCACAGGTAGAAGGCAAATACTGCTGTTGGTATTAACATTTTATGGAGGAGAACTTTGTAAAGATTCTGTAAATTTTATTTCCTTTTAACTTATTTTTCTTGTCTGTTCAAAACCAGATCCCTGGTTTGTGCTTTTCCAGTGTAAACCCATGAGTGCCAGTTAAGTTTTTGTGACTCCCTTCCCTTTGCAACCCTGGTTCTGTAATGACTGGAGTTCCATTGTTTGGGGCCTGGGTGGGCACTCTGATGCCAGCTGCAGCATTCACACCGTGCTGAGATGCTGCAGGCTCTTCCGGCTGATACTCAGCTGCTGGCGAGTCTTAGAGCTCAGCTCCACGGGAGTATCTGGTATGATATTAAAAACCAAAGGCACAGCACAGGATGCTCCAAGATTGCGATCTGCCCTGAATGCTCAGAAATTGTGCTTTAACTCTCAATTTCTTGATCAATGATTGTAATGTATTAGAAGCTTTTCTACCTGGAGGTGTGTGTTGGCACGGCTTTGCATTTTCATGTGCAAAGAAGGGAAGGGAAGAAAACCTACACACAGGATTCTGGTTGCATCAGACAGAAATGAAGTTTTATTAGTGACAATTTGCTGATACACAACAGCCCAAGTAACAGACAGGTCAAATCTGCAAAGCAAGTAGCTCAAGTGCCAGTGACTGAAGCCTCAAAGCATTCCGAGCAGAAGCAGCGTGTAGCGTGGCAGGCGGGCAGGCAGCCCACTTGGGCTAGATGACATCTACGAGCATCTTTTTTTCTTCAGGAGCGTGGGGAATGTAAAGGATTTGGGCCAATTCCTGTTTGAAAGGTCTTGCACTGTAGGATCCTCAGTGTATATTCTTAGTCAAAAGGTTTTCTTCCGTAGCCTGTTTAGAAACAAAGCAAGCAGTAAATTCTTCAGTGCTGGCACTGAAGCTCTGAGGCACCAGTATTTCCTTGGCTGCGTGCTAGGTGCCCGTAAGCATTCCAAAAGCATCAAGGACAGCTTCATCGTGGTTCAGAAGCAGTGGTATTTATGAGGTTCTGAAAAGAATGAGAGAGATGGAGAAAAGCCGCTCGGGTGTTAGCTGTATGATTAGCTGATGTCACCCACAAAACTGAACAGGAATCCAATGTGTGTTTCTTAAGCGGAGTTGATCCTTGGCATGCTAATAGAACAAATTTTTAGTAAAAGTAAATCTAACACGTTCCAGAAGTTTTAGTTTATCCTGGTTACTGTTTCCCTCTGGAAGAGTATGTTGACATGGTGTGTAAATTAGTAAGGATGGGGCTGAGAGAGCAACATGACCATACAACAGTTCTCACCTTGGCTTTCACCACCACTCCTGCAGGACTGAGACTGGGAAGACGAAGAGTAGGCGTGGGAACTGCTGACCCCTCCTGAGACCCTTCCTCCTCCTCCTCCAGCAGATCCACAGCTTATCCCTCCCATTCCTCCTCCCATTCCTCCTCCCATTCCGCTGCCATCGCCTCCATATCCACTGCTCATGCTACCACCTCTTCCTCCTCCAGAAGAATAGCCACCACCTCCTGTTCTACCACATCCCATGCCTCCTCCTGTTCCTTCTGGTATTCTGTAAAGAGAGAGAAAGAAGAAGAAATGTTAACCAAATGCACTTTTGACCTCAGAAGGAAATCTGTCTACAGAAACTGTGCGGGAGCCTGCACTTCTCCTGCCTGTACTTCTCCTTTTAGGAATAGCACAGGTCAACAACACAACCAATGTGGAGCCAACAATCAATCTCCGTTTCAATTTCAGCTTGAAAGCCAGAATGTTTGCCTTTCCCACCTTCTGCTCAGATATTTCTGGCAAGATTTAGCATTGCTGCTCTATCAATGTATGGTGTTACTGCGCTCCACGTTGGAAAGGCAGACAACGAACCTTTAGCTGTTCTTGCAGGTGCCACCTGCATGAGGGTGGCATGAAGCAGGATGACTGCATGAAGCAGGCTGACTGCATGAGGGCAACTGAAATAGCTTGAACTTTCAGAGAATTGCACCCTGAGATTTTTAGGAAGGTCTGGAAAACGATGGTATTTTGCTGCTTACGGTCTTTTCCAGGGTGACTTCAGCCCATTCAGTTCCTGGCCTTTCTGGAACCTGGGTAAAGTTAAGGCTGTGTATGTGGATTTTCTTGTCCAGCCCCAAATTGTTTTTTCAGAATTTCTACATTAATTTTTCCTCACATGATTTATATTCTGAATGACTTTGCCAAGAAACGTGTCGTACCTCAAACCTGGGAAGTGTTTGGTCGATAGCTACATTAGACTCAATTCAGTGCCTGGTCGGTGTTGCAAACCTTGACTGTTAACTACCTGCTTTGTGCCTAATCTAGCAACCCTGGGTCACCCAACGTGCTCTGTTCTTTTCTCACTTCACATACACAAGGTCTTGCGTCCCCTCCTGCAGCAGGGCCCGGTACTGAGCAATCTCCTGTTCCAGGCGGGTCTTGACGCCCAGAAGCATCTTGTACTCCTGGTTCTGACTCTCTATCTCGCAGCGGATGCTGGCCAACTCCTCCTCCAAGGGGCCAATCAGACTCTGGATCTGCTGCAGCTGCATGTTGTAGCGACGTTCTGTGTCTTCCAGGTTGGATTGCAAAGAGTCAACCTGCAAACGGAAAACAAGATCCAGCGTTTATGGGAACGTGACAAGTTTCACTCATTTTTGTGGAAAAATTGGAGCTCTTACAAACCAGAGATAAACTTCTCTTTGAAGATAAGTGGGGACAGTATCCCATTCTCCACAGGTGGAGTACTTTCTAGCTGTAACCATTCTTTCCTTCTAGTGACACATACAGCCTGTGTCACGGGTGAAGCAGAAGCAAATACCTGCACTTACCATGCTGATTTGGGACTGCAGCTCAATTTCCAGGCTTTGATATTCACGCCTCAGCTCAGAGATCTGCTGGTTGCTCGATTCTATCTCCTGGCCACTTGAGTGGACTTGTTGATTAACTTCTTCCATCTGAAAAAATCACTTTTGATAGTAAGGAAACATTGTGGGGTTATCATAAAAGCAATTAATAAGAATGAAGAAAAATGTCACGGGGACTGTGTACTTCCCACGTGCCACTCTGCTAACTCACCTTGCTACTGGAACAGAGACCCTACCTGCTTTACCACACAACCTTAGTACTCCAGAACTGACCTGTTACACCAAACTGCCTGAAATCCTTTAAAGTCAATGTCCCTTAAATAACAACGTGGTAAGTTGCCTTTCCTCTGTGGATGTATATAAGACCAGTTCTTGAAAGATTTAGTATCCGACCCCCCCTGTGCTTTACCTTGGTTTCGTACCAGCTTTCCACCTCTCTCCGGTTGTTCTCAATAAGCCGTTCGTATTCACAACGCATTTCTTTTAACTTTTCCATCAAATTAATGCCAGGGGTGGCATTGACCTCCACATTGACATCACCTCCTGACTGTGTCTGCAGGCTTTTCATCTCCTGAAAAAAAGCCACAAAACCCCCACGGGGTTCTTAAATGGGGAAGGTGAAGAGGGGTGTCACTGTTCCAAAGAAAGGAGAAGAAAGGGACACATATCCTCACCCTCCTGTGCAGGGGGGCTCATCTGCCCCTCTCACGAAAGGGAGCAGCTCTGCCATTCCTAAGCCAAACTTCGCAACAGCCAGGCCCCGCATACACATGGACCCAGACATTTTCTCCTCAGGGCCATAAGGAATTCTATGCAATGGGCTCTTTGTGAAAATCCCATTATATATTTTTATTCTCAATGGGAAAAATCATTGCAGTTAGTATGAATATTTTCTTTTTACTCCTCCATATATTCTATCCAATTTTCCTTCCATAAGTTCATCAACAAGGCACATGTTGAGGCACATGTTGACCTAAGTGTCTTTTTACACCAGTTCTGGGCAGCTATGGATGCTACATACTCCTGAAAGCCGAAGCCAGACTGTGTCAAGTTGGATGATCAAAGCCAGTGGCCAAAACCTGGTTCCTGCAAGTGGAAGAAACCCACAGGAAATCCTTTGAGTGTTGAGTTTTTGTTAGTTATTATTTTAAAGTGTGGAGAAACTTACCTCTTCATGGTTCTTCTTGAGGTAGATAATTTCCTCCTTTAGGGATTCAAACTGTGTCTCCATGTCAGATTTGGCTAGAGTCAGCTGATCCAAAAGTGGACGTAATTCATTAATATCACTTGCCACGCTCTGGTGGAGACTATGTTCAATCTCATACCTAAACAACAGACAAGGAAGGTGATAGTAAATGTGCTGCCAGACCTCTCCGCTTGTTGTCTTGATTATGAACAGCTCCCGTCAGTCCGTCTTTGGTCTTCAGTCCCATTGCTGCATTCTTAACACAAATTCCTGAGATTTATATGATGAAGAATATGCTTATAAATCTACATGCAAGGGTGGAGAAACTTAAAATGCAGCCTTCTAAGTGGCACTCTTCCATAACTTGTCTGGAGAAAAACAGTAATGAAAGACTAACAAAATCACTCTCAGAATGCATTTCCCAGCGATTACATATCCTATCGTTGGAGTCAAGAGGCTATGGCCTCAACAAAGAGTACAGGTGTGATCAATATCCTCAGCACAACCAGAACACAGCCCCATACAAGCTGCTGTGAGGAAGACTCCCTCAGCTAAAACCAGCACAGCAGGAAGGTGGAATGAGGGAGGAAGGGAAAGACTCACTTCAGCCTGTAGTCATTCACAATTACTTTGGTGGTGTCAGTGTCAAGAAGGATCCTGTTGAGGTCCACATTTGCCTCAACAATCTGGAAGGGAGAGAGCAGATGTTATTCGGTCAGTTCTCGTGGCAGTCAGACACACGGACAGAGGGAAGGAATACCTGTGTGGAACCACATCTCAGATGTCTTTGTGGTAAGGTCAAGCCTGACTAGTGCTGCAGGAGCTATGTGGAGAGAGGAGAGTTTACTGCCTCCAGTTAAAAGAATGTGCTTTGCTGGCAATAGTGGTTTACAAATACCCGTTAAAACCGAAATACCTTCTTGGAAAGAATAACTAAATTAATTCCTCACATGTTATCAATATTCTTCCGAGCACAGCCCAAACACAGCCTCACACTAGCTAGTCTGAGGAAAACTAACTCTCTCCCAGCTAAAACCAGCACAAAGTGTGGCAGAAGGCACACATCACCCAGAGAAGAGAACAGAAAAACCAGTAGCCAGGCTTTGTCCCCACACCATCTTCTTCCTGGCTGAAGCAAAGGAGGGAAGGTATCGCTCCAAACTGGGATATTGTGCTGCAGGAGGCAAGTGCCCTTCTGGGGAAAATCTGTTCCAAGTTAGTCAAATGACATCATACCTGGTTTTGCAGTTCTTCAATCGTTCTGTAATATTGGCTGTAGTCCCTGCTGCCAGTGGGACCTTGATTTTTATACCACTCCCTGATCATGTGTTCAAGTTGACTATTTTCATCTTCCAAGCGTCGCACTTTATCCAGATAAGATGCCAGGCGATCGTTAAGGTTCTGCATGGTCAACTTTTCATTTGTGGAGAGCAAGCCGGCATCTTCACCAAACCCCGCTCCACTGAAGCCACCTCCACCAAAGCTGCCACCACCAAAGCTGCCGCTACTCCCGAAGCCACTAAATTCACCTCCACTGTATCCACAGCTGCCATAACTGCCGCCATAACCACCTCCCATCCTCCCAAAACCACCCCCACCTGATCCAAATCCTCCTCCCATACTTCCACAGCTCATTCCTCCTCCATAACTGCCACCACTCATTCTCCCCCCATAGCTACTGCGGCTAATCCTTCCACAACTGCCACTGCTAAAGCCCCCTCCGTAGCTGCTCCTGGAAACTCCTCCACCAAAGCTTCTCCCAGAAAAGCCTCCGCTTCCTCCGGAAGTGTATTTTCTGCTGGACACTGAGGAGTATCCACAAGACTTACGAACTCCACAGCTGCTCCCTCCTCCACTACCAAATCCACCACCACCACCACCACCTCCACTGCTAATTCTAGTGGTACTAGTCGAAGACTTTGTGCCACAGCTCATAGTGACAGCAGGTGAGAGTCTAACCACAATCCCAAATTTAGGTGCACAGCCTGATAAGATTCAGGACTGTGAATTTTCATCCCCAGCTCTCTGTATTTATACTTTTGACAATGGGTGTCACCATCAGGGTGTTTCCTTCTCTCAGGGCATTTACCAACCTTGTTGTTTGTGCCAAGAATAATTTGCTTAACAATATTTTTGTGCTGCTATCTCAGGCAATCTAGCCCATTGCTGGCTTTATGGTGTTTGTTTAAGACTGAACATTTCTTTTGGGTGGCATTCGTTTCATTTAGCTTTTTCTGTTATATGTAGTCTTTTGCCTCAGGAGCCTGGGTCTGCTTTAGCATGGAAAAGCCACTATACACCGGCTCCTGTTGAAGCTGATGCTGAGATCACGTGTACCTGATGAACTGTGCAGAGGATTTTTTGTTCTCAGTTCTTCCCTAAAAGAAAGAAGATGAGGCCCAAATTTCTCACGAGACTGTGCGTTTATTCAATTGTTAACCTACTTTCTTTGCTCAAAGTTTTGTAGCTGCTGTTGTCAGAGACTGTTGTTCTCTTTTGCTCTTTCATATTTTGTGCATTTAAGATTTTCTACACTGCTTACATTCTTTTTCTCACTCTGCATGATCGCACAAGCATTTTACTATATAGGGCTGTATAACCCTGTAGAGACAGTCCAGCCTGTGTGTCCCTGCCATCACTGAGAGAACACAGCGAGTTACAGGAGAAGTCTGTTCCAACCAATGCGGTGCAATTCTTATTTAAAAATCAAAATCCTTCCTTTGTGAAGAAAGTGGCAATACAGCACGCTAGATATCTAAGTCCTAGAAATGAAAGAGAAGAAAAATCGGATTTTTTCACCAAAAAGCTGTTAATCTAAATAAGTAGGAAGATTAAGGATACTTTAATTGTATTATAAAGTCAATTGTAGCACAGTCAGAAGCCGTATTAATGCAGACAATGACCTATAAACTGCTGTGTGGGAAGATCTTTTATGGTTCAATATAAAACTGCTCATTCTCCCTATTGTACTGTCTCGTATATTACAGGTGATAGAGTAATTATATATATTGCACCTAATGCAGAGATCTCTGATGCTAAAATAGTGTCCTGAGGGAAAGGTTGAAGGGCTTTTTACACAAATCTGTTGAAATCGGACTGTTGAGACCACAAAAGAAATTACACCATACCTTCGTCTCACACGAACACCCAGAAGGTTACCCTTGTACCTGGTTTTCACCCTCCATTGTTCGATGCGATGCCGAAGTGGAGTGTCTAAACACAGAATTGCACGTTTCTGAAAAATCCCCAAGAAGGGCCTGAATTTGGGCAAAGTGCTGACGGACTCTGGTTCCAGGTGACTGTCATCTGCAAAAGTGTTAGGATGTGTCATCTTTGTCACCTTTGCCCTTTGTGGAACTAAATACTCCAGTTCCGATGCAGAATCCCATTTCCTCGGCATCCCCTTAGCTCTCGTCTTACACTGCAACTTTTTGGGAGAATTTGTACCTTTCTTTTCAATACAGCAGAGACTTCATTCAGGCAAACAGCCGGCCCTACCGCGTCACTGATCTAGGAGCAAAACCATCAGCAGTTGTGGTCTTGCTGTAGACCCCAAGCTGCCACAGTTTGCTTGGCAGGAAGTGTGCATCTTCCCAGTGACAGTTTTGTTCCGCGATACCGAAACGTGGTCATTGCTTTTGTCCCCTCTGCTTACTGATCCTCTGAACTGCGAGGTGGGTGTGCAGTGTAGCAACCTCCCCCCACACCTCCCTGCAGGGAAGAAAGAAGGGCATCTCTGAGCAATAGCATGCGGCCTGCTGTCCTCCGCTCAGCATCCTCGGGAAGAGCTCTTGGAGGAGGCAGTGCACCCCCGGCCTTGCCATCCAAAGGTCACTTGGATTTGGAAGTTGACTGTATCTTGCTGCTGGTTTTTATGCTCTGCGATCAGTCTCCATATGCCTGATTCTTTTACAAACTGTATTTCTGCCTCTTAACTTCTTTTTATGTCAAATTAAGGATTCTTTAGCATTTTTGGGCTATTCCATTGTCCTGTCCTTTGTGCTGTGCTTTTGTCAGCGTTGCTTTATTGCTGCTTATTCAACCTCTTTCAAAAGGCTCAGATCTTATCTTGCTCTTTGGCATACTCAGTGGCTCAAAGATGATGAAAGATTTCAAGCAGCTCGATGATGTGATAAGTCCTCCTTGTTCGCAGCAGGAGGATGGTGGTGTTGCCTCAGCAGTGTAAACACAGTTTCTGGGCTTCTGCCTGTCCTGCTGCTGGGGCTGAAAGATCTAGTTTGCTATATGCAAAGTGTTTTGCTCCTTTTAGTGGTGTTTCGTCTTTGTGTCTGGGATATGTTGTTTTGGTCAATGGGGACCGTTTTCTCAAATTCCACTACAGTAAGTAAAATTGATTATCACATTCAAAATTCCATCAGTGATTCCAGTGATACTCCTTGTAGATGCTTTTCATAGACAAGCTAGAACTATCCACGGGTTTGATAGAAATAATGAGAAAAAAACCCATGGAATTGTTAAAACAAGAATAAAAGCATTTGCCAGAAGAGTCTCTTGACCTGTTTATGTACTTTCTGAGAACCCACCTTGTTTCCTGCTTATAGCTGTCTTACTCTAGATGTGCTTGTTCTCAGCAGGGACTTGTCCCTACTAGAAGGTTCTTCTGCTAAGGGCGTATCTTGTTGTGTGCTTGGGAAATACTTTTTAAAATGAAAATGAAAGAAAAGAAAGAGTTAAGCCACTGTGGGTGGAGAAGTTTAGAAAGCCTGAACATTTTGGTTTAGTTCTGTATTATTACCACTACTCATATCTAAAGGAGGAACACAGATACTGCCTTTAGATCTTTAGCTGCTTTTAAGTCATATGCTCATAGGATGTTCCCTTTTGTCTTTCCTGTTGCTATGTCATTTTCGTTACTAGTTCAATCTTGGTGCTTTTTGTAGAAATGCTGCTGGCTGTAAGGATGTGCCGTATTCTTAACAGCTGAAAATCTTCCCTGGTGATGTTGTGTTTCTGTGACAGTCATTGTGTTGTCAAAAAGTAGTCTGTCTCGTTGGACAGCAATACTGAGGTATCTGAAAAACACAGAACTATGACTATTTCATCCTCTCGTAAAGTTGCATACATTGAATACCCTCCTGTCTTATTTTAATTTATCGGTTATTAAATATTTAACTGTGCAGTATTTACAAGCCAGAGAAGATCCATTGTGTGGACAGGATGATTTTTGCTTTCTGAGCTCATTTAAAGAGACTTAAAATTTTTCTATTTGGATGCTTTCTGCTAATGTATTCTATGGATGATGCAATATTCATCATTTATAGTTTATTAGCTAAAAGGAACCAGCAATTTTAGGACCTTTCCTCATTAATGATGCACAGTTCAATCATTAATGTTTCTGCGTTGATACAGCACCCGGGATCCTGTGAAACATTGCTGTTCCAAGTCAGACAGGAGGACATTGATGAGCACAGCTCTCAGCCTTGCCCAGCCTGCAGAGTATCTGAAAGCTCTGACACCCCGCACTGCTTCTTGTCACGCTCAGCACATGCCACATGTCAAGTACAGCCAACATTCTTTCACTCTCTCTCTGTTATTGTTTTCCTTTTCATCAGGCCTCTGTGATACAATCAAAGTGAGTGCCTGGCATCTGAATGAAGACAAACTCTGTGAGCAGCCCACACTGCTCTTTATCTTACCGAAACTGGGAGGCTTTTACAACAGGCTGGAGCTGCTGCATTCAGAACAGCCCTGGAGAAAATGTGTTTGTGCACCAAAAACTTAAAACTTTTCCCCTTAATTCAGTGTCATTCTGATGCCATGCCTCAGGCAGTTGCTGCCGTTCATTCTCTTGATCTATTTAATAATCTCTTCCCATCACTCTTAACAGAAGTTTTTGGAAGAGAGGACCAGTTTTCACGTTGGAGTCTGTGCTCACTCTTCATCCCTACCTAATCTCGTAATTATCTCATGAAATCACAGTAATTTCCAAAGAAATTTAGATTAGACCCAGCAAAGGAGACAAGGGCGGCAGCAGTGAGCCTGCCTGTGAAGTTTAGAACCTCTAGCACCCTCCCAGAGAACACTTTTGTGCAGGATAACTTGGATCTTCCATCCAAGTAAAATGATGGGAAGAAATCCTGCTGCTCAGATCCTGAAAGTGTAGACCTTTTTTGTCACTTGGAGGTGACGGTCATGGGTCAAGGCTTTTGTGCCCTACAGCCACTGGGCAGTTCACAGGCTGCTGGTTACTGACCATCAGCTGCCAGTTACCACTTCTGTCCCTTCTGAGCCAGAACTGGAGCCCTGTCCCTCCATGATTATCTGTCTCCTACGGGATGAAGTCAATTTGACTGGAATAAGCAGTTTTGTTGGTACCAAAATGGAACAGCGTTTTTCATATTGCCTATAGCAGCTGGAAGGCGCGGTAAGAGCATCTGCTGACAAGGCCTCCTGCCTCTTTCCAGAGTTTAGGTCCCTCAGTCCATTTGGGAGAAGCAGCTCCCCACCCGCTCCGGGTGCCTGTGGCTGCTCTGTCACCTTAAGGCTTTGATGGCTGCACTATCCTGCAGGAGGGAACACAGACATTTGCATCCAAGTGAAGGCACTAATCTGCGCTTTGGGCTTTCTGTTACTACCCCTCCTGTTGTATTTTCGTCCCCTCTTCCTCAAGTGTTTTGTGGGGAGGAAGGCCACACTGGCCTGGGGCTGGGCCCTGCTCGCCAGTGGGAAGGAGCTGGAACTTGCTCCCCTTGTCCTTGGCCTAGTCTGAGCAAGGGCAGAAGCAGCCTAGGGAAATCGTTAGTCAAAAGTTCACTTTAGTGAATTTAATAATTCAAGGTGGTTAAATGCCCACTGAGCCAGGATTTGGGAATCAGAGCTTTGGACTTCAGCCAGTCTAAGTGTAGATAAATCCTGTTTATGCCTCCTGCCCCTGGGGATCCGGCCCTGCTCGATTGTCCATGTACAGATCTACTGTCACAAAAACCCCAACAGTGCAAGCAAATCGCTGCCTAGGCAACTTGTGCTACCCCCTCACAGCAGTGGAGAAGAACCCCCAGGACCTTCGTGCTGAGCTGCGTGGGCTCTAGAAGGACCCGCTGGTTTCTTCCTTCCCCCTTGACAGCGCAGAGAAGTGGTGTACTTTGCTGTGTTCATTCTGTAACCCGTGAATACAGCCCGCCTAGCACTTGGCAGTTAATGCTGAACAGAAGAGAGAGTAGCAGAATATATGCACAGGCAATTGCGGAATTACCTCCGTGCCTCCAATGGACACACGGATTGCTCCGGCAGCGCTGAAGCCAAACAGACAGGAGTGTGGGCGCACATTGACTTTTTCATAAGGTTGTTCTGAAGGTCTTGTTCTAACACGTACCACAATTTTCTTCTCAGAGCACTAATAGGAACACCAGATAAGCATTGCAACATTTTGTGCTCATAAAATTAAAGCTAATTATGCTGATTAATGCCTAGCAATGCGTGCAAATCCAAAGTGTGAGGTTCTCCTCGCTGCTCGCAGTACCGCCGCAGTCCCGCGTTAAGCGTGCCCTAAGCTTTGACACCTGGCACGACGGTATTTGTGTTTCTTACTCCGGCTTTGCGGGAGCTTTGCTTTTCTAGCCCTGTTCCTCCCCGTGGGTCACTTTGCGTCGCTGTCATCACACGCCTGTTCTCAGTAACCAGTGCTGCCGGCAACCCGGATGCAATTCCGTCTATACAGAAGGGGAAGCAGAACACCCGAATGGGCACTTTGCTGCAGGGCATGGTAGACACCACCTAGATGCAGTTGTGTGTGTGATGAGCACTGATGCCCTGAGTACGCAGGAAGATTTTTAAGTTTATTGGTGCTTTGCATTTATTTTGTCACTTACTGCAACGTGTAGCAAATGGACTTTATTCTGAAGCCTATTTACATTCTAGGTGCAGACTTACTGCCTGCAAGGGGCACTGTAAGAACATCTTGTTAGAAAGGGTCAGATTTTAGCTGAGGAAGAAGACAGTGTCATGAATGCTGAGTAGTACCAGTAGTAATAGAGATATTGTTTCTTCTAATTGCTCAGGAATTGTTGTTTATTTCTGTGCGTGATGGTAACACCTCCAGGTGAGCATTTAAATCAGCAGCAATTGCGGAGCGTATTACAACACATGCCACTGGAACGTTTGTGTGTTGGCACGGCAGGACGCATTTCTCCGCTACAGCCTCACTGCCCCGAACATTCTCCTTCCCACACTTCACACTCTTCCAGTGCCATTCTGCTCTGCCCTGCTCTCACAAGGACTCGTTTCGGTGGAGTTTCTTTCCAAGGTTACTGCAGAGATGCTGGGTAATGAGATAACTGGCAGTAAAAATGCTATAAGTAAGTTATATTTTTGGAAAGAAGGGCAGGATTGAGAGGAATCCGTAGTCCCGCAAGCTGCTGTGATGGCACGGAGCAGCAAGCTCCCGCACAGGCTACTCCTCTGAGTAAATTGTAGCTCACAGGCTCCCGGTGTTGCTGTGAGGCCAGAGGTCGGGTGATGGCCTGTAAATCACGCTGTGAAAGCCAGGGAGCATGCACCCAGCAGAGATGTTTTTGAGATTAACTTGGCAGGCTCCCAGGGGAGGTGTGAGGAGCAGGGCTCCGGTGTGGGGGAGCTTGAATTTGGGCTGTTAGTTGGTATCCAGAATAGACAGGTCTAGGAATCGTCACAGGCTCCAAGAGGTGTAAAGCAGCAGAGTGAGCAGGTGGGGGGGCTGGGGATAGAGACAAGAATGGTTTGATGCTGCAAGGATTTTAAATGATTTTGCAATAGGTAGGAGATGTGGATATCCTTGCAAATATAATCGGTGTGCCTTTTAGCACATCAGGTCAGGGATATCAGCACATCCTGCTCTATGAAGCAGCCCCTCATGAACATCAGCCGCTGCCTCAGGTCCCCATAGAGACACTGGTCAAACCCAAATTCTTCTGTTCAAACCGCGTTGGCTGCGAGCCGGGCATAAGCAACGCCGTGAATCACTGGCACAGATCTGCCCGGCGCTCGGGCGTGCAGGATGCCTGTTCCCACGGTCTCCCACTCAATCGGAGTTTCTCAACCTTCTCCAGTGGGTGATGCCCTCCTCAGAGTGACGAAACAAAACTCCTGGCTGTAGAACTAAGAAACTGCCAGGCCTGGTGTTTAAGCACAGGTCGAGAAACGCGAGGGATACAGGACGTGTTAGTGAGCTGGGGCCATGGGATGAGTCCTTGGAATTCTTTCTGGGTGAAATTCCCCATGTAGTTCATATCAGCTACTCGCCCGTAGAAGTTCTTACCCGACCCCACACTGCAATTGCCTCCTCAGAAATTAAAAGCTCAATAAGGACAGCGGGGGGTGGCGAGCAGAGGGAACCCCTGGACAATTGGCACCCACCCGGAGCATAAGGGGGGGAACAGGGCTATAATTAAATGGAGGATGAAAGTTCAATCTCTGTCTTTTTGGCATTTGCGCCATTATGGCTGTGAGCAGACCCTGCACTCCGTGATGTGTAGGCAACCCTTAAAATCAGTTTGGGAACCTTTTCTCTTGGACATCTTTCTTTCTCTCAACCTACCGCTGGGTTTTGTAAAAACATCCTAAATATGAGTAATTCGCCAGTCTGCTCTGTAAAATGTTTCTCTGCCCATACTTAGACATAAGGAGTGCCCTGAGGTGGAAGAGGGCAGGTGTTGTGCAGCACCAGGAGCAAGGCATGGTCTGACCAGTGAAAGCAGCCTGTGAATCCTCGTTCTGTAAGACCGTGTGCGTGCAACTTCGGTCGCACTCCATCTGTATGAGTTTAGTTTACAGTACAGGTAGCTACTGCCACAACGTAGGGATGTCCCATCCCTGAACTTGTACTAGTGGGTACCCAAGCAGGCAGCACTCCAAATGTGTTCGTTTGGATAATGAATTGTATCTGCACGTGGTGGGGGTTGGCACCGGCAGCTGAGAATATCCATCTTTAAATTCCAGAGATTAATATTAAGTTCATCATGCATTGTGGTGACTCCTTAGGAAGATTTGTTTTGAGAGGCTTTCCAGGGCATAGTAAATTCCTTAAACTCACCCTCTTTTTTCTTTCCCTGATAGGAGTTAATAGCAGAAGCGAGTAGGTGTTTTCACTGTTAGCCTACCCCTTGCAGGGACCACACGAGCGTTTTTCCCTGGTCATGTGTTCTTCAGAGTTTTGCCCAGTTAAATGGTGAATATGTCACTGCAAACTCTTGGGTCTTATGTATAATCATAGAATCACAGAATGGTTTGGGTTGAAGGGACCTTAAAGCCCACCCAGTCCCACTCCACTGCCATGGGCAGGGACACGTTCCACTAGACCAGGTTGCTCCAAGCCTCATCCAGCCTGGCCTTGGACACTTCCAGGGATGGGGCATCCACAGCTTCTCTGGGCAATCTGTCCCAGTGCTCCCCACCCTCTCCGGGAAGGCTTCCTTCCTGATGGCCCATCTCAATCTCCCTCTTTCCATTTAAACCCGTTACCCCTTGTCCTGTCACTCCCTGCCCTTGGAAACAGTCCCCCATAATCTGACACGTTGTTGTGCTTTCCACAGGTAGGGCTCAGTATGTGTAAGTGATTCAAACAAAAATGTCTGCGGAAGGAAACTTCTCCCAGGCACGGCTTGCTGGTTGCAGCAGAGAGAAGCAAAGGTTTATTAGCAATTAGTTTCTTGGGTTTGATTCATTTTTTTTTCACAAGAATACCAATCATGGTAGAGATTACCCCAGGTTACAGTGATTAGGCACAGAAACTCCGACAGAAGGAGGCAGGCCACCCAGAGAGTTCCGATGAGCCCCTGAGTGAACAGTGTTGAGTAGCTAGAGCAAATGTTTGCTCTTCGCAGACGCGCCGTCGGACACGCTGGGTATAGTCACGCTTGGTCCGAAGGGCTGCTGGCGGGGTCCTGCAGCGGAAGATGCTGGCTTGGCCACTCAGTCCTCAGACTTCCTAAAACTCCCTGTTGAAAGTTGAAGGAAAGCAAGAATTCCTTTGAACTGTTACCTCATGCAGCATTTCTAATCTTTTTGTTACTTCACAGTTATAGACTGTGCAGGTCTCAGGGGACTAGGTCTTTTTCCCACCATGCTGGAAAGGTTAGAACAGTGTCAGACCGTGTTTGTACAAGCATGTGCGCTTGCAGCTTTATCGTATTACATACACAGACCTGCTTCTGCTCTCGGCTGTGTCAGTGTAAATCAGCCTTTAGAGTGACTGTAGCAGAGAGAGAGAAACTTTCCGAAAGTTATAACTTCCGGTTCATTTTCAACATTTCCAGGCATTGGTCTGAGATGCTGTCAGGACCTGGAGCCTTACCCATTCTCATTGTTTTTATGGCTTCAGACACTTCCTCCATCGTTGCTCCTCTCTCCAATGTTTTATTCCCTTCCAGGCAGAGCTTCAGGTTTTCGGGACCTCCTGGAACCGCAGCCACAAAATCAGACATAGAAAAGAACATTACGTCACTCCCCATTTTTGCTACTTCAGGATTTTGCAGCCAATACCCCTTGTATTTCAAGTGTCTCGAGTATTCCAGCTATTCTACCCTGCTTTTACCATTTTGCCCCCTTAATACCAGATACATTTCTAACATTTGGCTTCATTCTGAAACTACTGACTTCTCTGGTTCCCTCTAGGCTTTGGACTGGGCATTATTTTTCCTTTTCCTCCTTCATTTCCTCTTTCTGCGCACCCTTTCATAACACCTTTTATACATGATGACACTTCCATAACACCTGAGTCACTTACGACAATACAGCCATATTGATATGTTACTGTATAAAACTAAATGTCAGTGGGGACTTAAAACATGATCGGGGTAAAAAATAGCAAAAATATCTCCAGATTGCCACATCAGGAAGGCAGTTGTCATATCCTTTCCTGTTTTTCAGAGAGAAAAGTGAATGAGAGGATGTACCCTTTTATTCCTGTTTTTACCTTGGCTTTCACAAGACTTGCCAGACTGGGAATGGGAGGATGAAGAATGGGAGAGGCAGGATTTTCCCCCTCCTCCTCCACCACTGCCACCTCCTCCACTTGAAGTTTTATCACAGGGTCTACCTCCTGTACTTCCTCCAATCCCTCCTCCTCCACCTCCGGAAGAGGAAGTTCTTCCATAGGATCCTCCAATTCTTCCTCCACTGCTTCCTCCACCTGAGGACCAACTACTTCCTCCTCCACTACTTCCTCTTCCAGAAGACCAGCTAGTTCCTCCATGACCTCCTCTTCCAGAAGATCCGCCGCCAGCTCCTCCCTGTGAGATGCTGTGAGGAGGAAGGGGCACATATGAATGCGATTTATAGCGACAGGAGCAGTGTCTGCCATCCTGTCGGCTGGACCAATGCCACTTTCTGCCTCCCTCTGAGCTCCTTTTATGACTGAGAAAGTACCATGGTGTGAAACATGGTCTAGAGAACCGGTTTTAAACCATCCTAATTAGGGACAAATTAGCTGATCTGCACAGAAGAAGCAAAGGTAATGGATGGCTCTAGAAGTCTTTAAAAATATGTACCTTGAGTATTTATAAAAGACAGTTATTTTCTTGCTAATCTTTCATTGCCGTATAAAACTGTACTTCCTGATTGCACTCAAAAGAAATGGCAAATTATAGTTCTAAACACTTCTGGAAATGTTCCTGTCCAGTTCACAAGAGGTTTAGAATAACACATCTTTGTACACTGCCAGCTGAGGTTTAGATTCCCTGTGAGTTCCTCTCATTGCAGTGAAAATGTTGATGATGAATCAGTTGCACTAGATCCTAATATATATATAGCTATTCATCTTCATCGGTTTGCAAAGATTAATTAACCGGAATGTACATACGCAATGTCTTGCTGTCCCTCCTGCAGCAGAGCCCGGTACTGAGCAATCTCCTGTTCCAGGCGGGTCTTGATGCCCAGGAGCATCTGGTACTCCTGGTTCTGACTCTCCATCTCGCAGCGGATGCTGGCCAACTCCTCCTCCAAGGGAATGATCAGACTCTGGATCTGCTGCAGCTGCATGTTGTAGCGACGTTCTGTGTCTTCCAGGTTGGATTGCAAAGAGTCGACCTGCAAACGGAAAACAAACTCCAGCGTTTATGGGAACGTGGCACGTTATGGGAATGTGGCTGGATTAGATTGTTCTTTTGCCTGAAATGAGCAAATCTTGCGTGGTGTGAGATGCGCCAGGCATCTCCATCAAATGGAGCATAGCTATAGCTGCTCTGCCATTCCAGCAGCGCCCGCGTTCTTTGCACATCAGAGGATCAGAAACCATCACTACCTACCATGCTGATTTGGGACTGCAGCTCGATTTCCAGGCTCTGATAGTCACGTCTCAGCACAGAGAGCTGTTGGTTGTTCGATTCCACTTCCTGGCCACTTGAGTGGACTTGTTGACTCACTTCCTCCATCTGCAAAATTAATATATAGAGTTGGAGTTTCTGAGTTTTACTTACAGTGTCAGCACAGTAGTTTATCATGGAAGCAGCTGGCAGGACAAGTTGAAGCACGGACACTTGTCACATGGGGGCTGTTTCAACTTACGTGGCTCTGCCACTGCAGTTCAAGCCTGCTTGTGATTTCCTTTATTTTAACCAAAGGGTTTTTACTATTATATCCTAAAAGCAGTGGATTTTGTCATTCACAGTGTCATTCATCTACAGGAGGTTCTTACCAAAAGTTAGTATTGTTCACATTGAAATCACTTACCTTGATTTCGTACCACTTTTCAACCTCTTCACGGTTTCTCTGAATAATATTTTCATATTCTTGTCTCATATCATTCAGTTTTTTCAGCAGATCCTCTCCTGGAGCTGCATTCACCTCCACATTCACATCACCACCGGCCTGTGCTTGCAGCAATCTCATTTCCTGCAGAGAAAACCCAGGCCCCAGGCAAATCAACAATGGCAAAACTGGTGAAAGAGTTTTGAAGTCAGTTAACTCGCTCTGATTCCCTAAGCCATCCTGGGTCCTTTCAAGAACATGTGTGTGTATGTGGCTCTGAGCAACCTGGTCTAGTGCAAGGTGTCCCTGCCCATGGCAGGGGGGTTGGAACTGGATGATCTTTAA